CATATGCAGAGAGCAGGTCTGTTAAAAGCAGTTAATTTTCAACCTGGGGTATTTAAAGTTGTAGAAGGGTTATGTTTTTTGTATAATTTGCACAATAGTTAAGGATAAATACATGATAACTGTTTGGTTCACTTTATGTTTACTGCAGAAAATTTGTTTCTCTTCATTGCCCAGCGTGTAAGTAACATTAATAAGAAGAAAATTTTAAAAATTCATTACTACTTTAAAACATATTTAATATATTTTGGGGTGGAACAGGTACACACGGGCTGCGCATTAGGGTAAAATACGTATACAATGTTGAGAAGACTAGTCATGAAAATAATGGACAATAAATTTTTCCAAATAAAGAACTTACCATAAAGGCACAATCCAAAAACCTTTGTGCCCGGCTGGGGTTCGAGAGTTAATGATGATCGGTGTGTTCTGACGCAAACGTAGCAGTAACACTATGACATAAGTAAAGATAGAATTAAATGTTAAGAAAGACAAGAGTATAAAATACTTTGCATATTGTGTTTTTGCACGAACACATTTACCTTAGAATCGGTGTAAAACACTACTATACCAGTACCATTTTCCACTCTGTGCTTGCATTCCTCGTACCTACATATCGTCAGTCCTTCGGCCGGACTACATTGGTTATGAACAATTGCGGAATCAACTACTTCACATAGATTAACAGCAGTTGTCTGCTGCAAAGGCCACACAATTAACAATGACAACAAAATGTTGAACATCGGATTGCTTGGCGCCATGCGTGTGGCCACGTTTGAATATTATTTTTTACAGAAAAAACACAAAGTGTACATTTGGGGGATGATGGCCTGACGTACAAACACGTCTAGAAGACAAAAGAGTGGCACTCAATGTGGCTATTTACTAACAATTACGCATAAAAAAAAACAATTGAAATGCTTACCCATGTGACTGTGAAGGCATGGGTTGAATAGCATTTATCCGACTGCTACATAGACACTGGATGCATGAACAAGACATTCTAGTTTTTTCAAGGTAGAGAAGATAGATGTATATCGCTGCACTAAGCTACGTTTATTTTTTGCAAAATATTAAAGAATAAGAACAGAAGTTGCTTGATATTTGCCTGGGTTAACGAGATTGATTTTCGTGTAGACAATAAATAGTAGAACTTATCAGCACATGTTCTTTTAAATGAAAGTAACGCGGCAGGGATGCGGATAACAAACTGAACGGGTCATTGCATGCCAAATGACATAGTACCTGTTACTCCACGACCCGATACTGGTGATGTAATCATGACAATTACGGATCAGGAAGAAGCGAAATGGCAATAAGCGCATAAATGACAATGCACAGTGATGAAAACGACAATTTCCAACTAGGATAGTCGTACGAATGTCGGAAGCCACGCTCTATAAATACTACACAACCGTCTTAGGCAAATGACTCTGATGATGCGCTCGAGAGAGTTAAAAAAACCTCAGTATAAAAAAGCTTGATCCAGTGGTCCCATTCTTGTCTGCTAAAATAAAATCGCTTACTCCTAGCATACATTATTGCAAGTCCTTCATGCAAATTTCATGAGGATATTCAGCTTGGTGGTTTAGCATATTTTTGGACAGGTTACTTTGATTAAGTGAATTGATTTAATAAGTAGAAAGGCTTTAAAACAAAGTTTACTTAGTATGAATTTGTATGAAGCAAATACTACAAAATTTACTGGATCCATAACATTTCGGAAGCGCTCATCAGTTGCAGCCACTATAATGCGTTGAAGAGTAACGAATAAGAAAAATACGAAATTGAATTGGCCCAGAAAGGTCACAGGTCATAGTCACTAAGGCTAACTGGCAAAGTTAGAAGGTTAAAACCAGTTGGAAGGAGAAACAGAGGAAAATGAGTTACGGGAAAAAAGGGGGACAGGCGAATGTGTATTTCTGGGAGCCTTTTCTTACCAAGAAAAGGCTAGGCTAACTACATGCTCCAACGCTTTGAATAGGTTCAGTTAAGAGCGTCTTATATAGGCTGCCTCCAGGTAGCGCAAGATACGAGATGCTCGTTTTCGAACAAGAACTCGGAATGAACTTATAGGGTCCACGGAATGACCCCTGTCCAGCAAGTGTTCCGCAATGGAGGAATGAGGGGATCGGTTTTCCTACTTGAATAAATAACTAGGCTCGAGAACTGTTATGGTTCCAATAAATTTTGTAGTATTTGCTACATAGAAAAGCTTTGTTTGGAAAACTGCCATCTTATTTAAACTTATTGACCGAAATAGGCACTAGTTTTGGCTAAGTCATGCGTGATTTTATATCAAAAAAATTTGCTATGCTATAAGGTAAAACAGAACCAAATTTTTATTAATATGCATTGTGTTATGGAAGAATTCCAGAATAAGTAAATAAGTGGAATATTAATCCTTTTCAGAATTGGAAAATGTTGTCCGAAGTTGCTCAAATGGAAGTAGTGCCACGTTTAAGGAATCCTATTTAGTTTCAGAAACAGGGACAATTTGAGTTAAAAAAACTATTATTTGCTTATGTGTGAAGTTTTACGACATAATGGGTTGTTG